TTTGAGCTTGCAGCTAATAAATCTGTTTTGGCCCATATGAAACAGGATGAAATGATTTTGTAGCCCACATATCCTTTAGCTGGTTATTTGAACTCCTTTTACTTAGTACATTATTTGTATTCCCTGTTAAGAGGGTGTCTTTAATTGTTTTATTATCAATTGTTGGGAATGTTCTTTATCATGAGAAAAAATGTAACTCAATAAGCAGGTATGATTTTATAATTAAAAATTTGGATTCTTGTTGGAAACATAGTTTCAGACCTACAGAAATGCTTGAAATCAGGAGATTAACATTGATGTAACACCATTGATGTAATCTATAGGTCCTATTCAAATGTCCTGAGGTCTCTCAGTTATGGTCTTTTTTTTTAAGTATATCTTTATTGATTTCAGAGAGAGGAAAGGAAAGGGAAAGAAAGATAGAAACTTCAATGATAAGAGAGTCATTGATCAGCCGCCTCCTGGAAGCCTCCAACTGGGGATTAAACCTGCAACCCGGGCATGTGCCCTGACCTGGAATCGAACGTCGATCTCCTGGATCCTAGGTCGATGCTCAGCCGCTGAGCCACACAGGCCGGCTCAGTCATGTTCTTTATATGAAGAGAGAAGCCTGGCCCTGGCCCGTGTCGCTCGTTGGTTGAGCATCATCCCATGTACTGAAAGGCTGGTGGTTCAGTTCATTGTCAGAGTACATGCCCGGGGTGTACGTGAGGCAACCAATTGATGTTTCTCTCTCTCGTCGATGTGTGTCTCTCTCTGCCTCTCCCTTCCTCACTCTCTAAAATTAATAAAAATATATTTAAAAAAAGAAAGAAAATCCTGGATCACAAGTAACATAGAGTTGTCATGTGTTTTTAGTTTCCTTTAATCTGGAGAAGTTTTAGATTTCATGAATTTAACATTTTTGAAGATTATAGGCCAGTATTTTGTAGCAGATTTAATTCATGTTTTACAAGTGACATGCTTTTCATAGCGGGAGGCATGTGATGTTGACTTGTCCATTACAGGTGTCTACTTTGATCACTTGGTTAAGGTGGTCTGCCAGATTACTCTACTGTCAAGATATGCTTTTCCTCTTTGTATTTAATAAGTATCTTTGAGGCTATTTTGAGACTGTTTAATGTTCTATTACTCCTCAGAACTTTTACCCATTAGTTTTAAGCATCCACTAATGAATCTGAATTAATTATGATGATGATTGTCAATGGTAATTTTCTAATTCCATCATTTTTCTACATTTATTAGTTGGGATTCTGATGTAAGGAAAGGCAGGTTCAGTTCACTATCCCCTATCCCTTATCCGGCCTGTAAGGGAGGCAACCGATCGGTGCTTCTTTCTCACATCAATGTTTCTCTCTCTCTTCTCCTTCTCAAATAAATAAAAAAGATTTAAAAAAATCTTCATTTTTATCTTTTTTTCGTCTTTAAATTGAATAATATTGATTGATTTGTTTTTTTGTGTGTGTGTGTGCCCCCCCCCCCTTCGGGTTATTGATTCTTTCTTCTGCCAGGTCAAATGTGCTACTGAACCCCTCTAGTGAATTTTTCATTTCGGTTATTCTACTTCTTAACTTGAATTTCTTTTTGGTTCTTTTTATAATTTCTATCTTATCTATTTGATGGGCCATTGTCATTATACTTTACTTGTTTCAAGATGGTTTCTTCTAGTTCTTTGAACATATTTATAATAGCTGCTTAAAGTCTTTGTTGACTGTGTCCAAAACCTAGCTCCCGCAGAGACAACTTTATTGAAACTGCCCACCCCATTGTATTAGTCATACTTTTCAATTTTTGCATATATTACACTTTTTTTTGTGGAAACCTGGACAATTTTGGTAATATATTTTGCACTCTGATTCATTTCCCCCCAGAGTTGGAGGTGGTTGCTCTTTTTGATTGTTTAGTGACTTGCTAGACTAATTTTATGGAGTCTGTTTTTCCTGCAGCCTGTGGCTGCTGATGTCTTTGCTCAGTTCTTCCTTGTTTTTATTTTAAGCTTGACTTTCTAGTAGTTGCCCTTGGGTCAGTATATTTTTTTTTTTTTTTATATATCTTTATTGATTTCAGAGAAAGGAAAGGAGAGGGAGAAAGAGAGATAGAAACATCAATGATGAGAGAGTCATTGATCGAGCCCGCAACCCGGGCATGTGCCCTGACGGGGAATCGAACCCCGATCTCCTGGATCCCAGGTCGATGCTCAACCGCTGAGCCACGCCCGGCCGGGAGGGGTCAGTATATCTTAATGAACAGCCTGTGATTGGGCAGAGGTTGTGTTTAAACTCCTTGAGACAATGAGGCCCCCCACCCTTTGTCAGTGGTTCTTGTGAGACTTGGGGAATGCATTCAAAGTGAGGTAGTTTACAACCACCCTGGCTTTCTGTATTTGCAAGACTCACACTCATCCAGGTATGGGTAGTTCTCTAGGGCCCTCTCATTTTTCTCCTGCGTGTTTATAGCCTTGAGCATGAACACAGCAGGAAAAAGTAGATTCTTATCAAGGCCCCATTGGGTTGTGTCATTCCCTGATTCTCCCTGTTAAAATTTTGGTAGGTCTGCTGGCCCTAACTAGTGTGGCAAATTCAGACTAGTATGATATTGGCCTTTCCTGATTTTTTTTGCCTCTTGAATCACTACTGTTTTTGAAAATGCCCCTGGGCATGGAATTCTCCTGGTTCTGATCCAGATAAATATAACTTCCTCTGGCAGTGGAGCTGCTAGTCTTCACAGTTTGCCCTGTCCTATTAGGACTTCTATTCTACGTCAAGGAATTGGGAGTGGGTATAGGATGGTGGGAGCCCCAGCCTAAACCACCACACATTTCTGCTCTTCTTACTGAGTGAGATTCAGTAGATTTTCTTGAATAAACACTTCTCAGTTTGTTGGGTGTCTTTGGGTAATATCCAAATCCTTAAATGGATGGTTTTGATAATTTTGTCCACTTTTATTGTTGGGGTTAATATTTGTCAAACTCCTCATTTGGTCATTTGGGCATCCTTCCCTTTGCCTTTTCTTTGTCTGTCTCTGTTTCTGTTCTAGTTCTTTCCTAAGGTACAGCAGCTGCTAGTTTTGCTCAACTGCAGATGAATCCTGCACAGGTTAATTTTTCCTGAAACACAACTCCGATCTGTTTTCTCTTCTGCTGACTTATGCTTTAGAAATTCCCTACTGCTTTTGAAAAACGACTGGTTTTCTAGATCTTCCAACTTGTTTTAATTTCCTTGCTACTACTCTCCTTCATATAGGTTGGACTCTATCCAAATTGAATTAATGTTGCAAGAATCTGCTTCTGTTTTTCTGTGTCTCTTTTTTGTTTCCTTTTGCCAACAGTATGCTTTTCTCACATTCTCAGTTCTTCCTTAGAATTTTTTCTGAAGCTCATTTGGATTTCCCGACCTGGAGATACCCTTTCTCTCTGATCATATGTACATTTACCCATACTTAAAAAAAAATTAGTGCTATCACTTCCCAACTTGTATTGTTAGTTCAATGTAATTTTTGTAAGTTAACTTTTGTATCCCTGATTGTGTCTAGTACACTACCTCGCAGAAGTATTTGTTGAATGAATGAGGAGATGAATGCATTTCTGAATTAGACCGCCTGACAGTCTGGACTCCTGTATGTGCCTTTCCCACTACCTTATTGTTTATCTAAGACGGCGATTTTCAACTGGTATGACCCAGCATACTGGTGTGCTGCAAGAATTTCTAAAACATGCAATACCTGACTCTTTAGTCAGGGGCACTGACCCCTTTTCCTTAGATTGTTAAGCAAAAAAATGACAACAGCCAACACAACAATAGCCGTCCAGTGTGAATTAATCAAAATTATACCTATTGTTTTTGTCAGATAGGCAAAAAATATATTTTTTGGTGTACTGCAGAATTTAAGTAATTAGTTTATGTGCCATGAGATGAGAAAGGTTGGAAATCCCCGATCTAAGACCATCTGTTTCTTTCCCTTTTTGCACTTTTTGACTTTATCTCTGTTTCTCTTCATGTATCACTAAATGACCTATTAATGTTTGTCTCTGTTGCTTCTCTTCTTCTGAGTTATATTAATTTCATTTTAAAGAAAAATTACATCATTTTGGTAAAGGATGTTTGTGGGAAATTTAGAGGAAATGGAAGCTAGTGTTCAGAATGACATCTTGATCCATTTTATGGGAAAGCATAAAGGCTGCTTACCAGGATTTTGGAAGTTTGCAAGTATCGGCTTAAGTCCTGGGCTGGTGGCCAGCAGCGAGTAGAAAGTAGAAGTTGTGATGACATGTTCAGTATCCAGGTGGAAGGTCTGGGGGCCAGCTGCAGGGCCCCATATTCCAGCCCGCTGATCCAGGCAGCTGCTTTGTATTCCTTCGAGGCAGCTGCCCGAGCTTCTGATCAGATAACTGGTTTGAAGTGATGGCAGGTATGAGTAGGGAAATAGATGCTTAAACTACAATATTTCTGTTTTTTGAAAGCTGGTGAACCATGTGGGGTTCCCTGCATAGTTTTGGACTGTAATTATGGCAGTGAATTAGGTTTGTTGATGAATTCTAAGGAATTGATAACTTCGTTTCGTAGAGGAATACCATCTTGTCCAAGGTTAAACTTAGTCAATGCCATGTCTCTTGAGCCCTAGTTCATTATACCTATTTCGTTATAGCTTTTGGATTCTAGATCTTTATACCGTTTTTCAAAACTGTTTTCCCTCCTACTCTTCTGCATTTCACAAGCTGAATGAAACTGCAGAACTCCTTAATTTCCACCTCATTGCCCCATTTGTGGAAGTTTTTAGTTGAAGTGGCCCAAACAAGCAAGCTAGTGATACCTGTGAAGGTGAAGACCTTGAGAGGAAACTCAGGACAGATGGTGTGCTTGACTAACTGCTCAGGAGAAAGTGACGCCAAGACCCAGGAAGGGTACCACACTGCCTTTGCCATCCAAGTGCTAAATTTCCGAGAGCACAGAGGAGGCTACAGGTTAATTGTTCTTCATTCACCCATTTCTCTTTGGTTTCAGCTTGTCACTGCTGAAGGCAGGAAGAACTGTGAACCTGAGCAGTGGAGGCCCCCCTGGATCTGGAGAGAAGAGGCAACCTTGGAACCAGTAATGAACTATCCTGACTGCAGACTGAACCTGGGGACCCTCAGAGGTAGCAAAAGGAAAATGGCATCTACTCTAGCAACTAGAGATCTGAAATACAAATGGAATGGAGGCACAGGGCAGGTTTTAGGACCGAAGGGACCTATAATTCTTCTGGTGACTTGTTAAATATTTTTCTGTGTTATTTATTCTAGAATTGTTGTTTCTTATTTTCTTAATTTGTTGTTATACTGAATACAGCTATTTAATTTCCTCTTGAAAAATGGCAATCTTAGTAATTCCTATTTTAAAAAAGTTTGTGCCTATAAACAGAAAGCATGCTAAACCCATTATTCAGATTATATTCCATGCATATTATGGTGCTGATTTAAAACTCAGGTCTCATCTATATATATTTTATTCATGTTTTCGTACCTGTTCTTTCTTGTGACTATTTGAAATCTTTATCAGGGAGTCTCATTTTCTTGTTGGTCTCTCTAAATTAAAAAAAAGGTAAAATATCTCTAGTTTTGAAAATACAGAGATGTTTGATTGAGGAAAGAGTTGATTACTGCCTCATGTTTCTAGGTGTGTCCTCTGTGGTTGGCCCACGTGGTGGTGGTGCTTCTCCAGGTGACAGAAAGTCAAAGAACAAGTCTACACGAGGGAAGAAAAAGAGCATATTTGAAAATTACATGTCCAAGGAGGATGTTTCAGAAGGCTTGAAGAGAGGAACACTTATCCAGGTGCTTAAATCATATTAGAAGGCTATTCCTTGAATCAGAAGTAATCTATTTACTCAGGAAAGTGTTTATTTTTCTGTGCTGTGTGCCTTGAAAGAAATGATGATGTAACAGGCACAGGGCTTCCTACTTCTTAGACCCACAGTGCAATTAGAGGTAGCAGGCACCACAAGACAGAGACAGCATAGTGTTCTGAAATTTGAGAGGCAGGAGCTGTTACTTCCAGTTAAGGTTGTCAAGCAATGTTTTATTGGAAGGGATTTTTTTTTTTTTTTTTTTAAATCTATATTGATTTCAGAGAGAGGAAAGGAGAGGATAGACAGAGATAGAAACATCAATGATGAGAGAGTCATTGATCGAGCCCGCAACCCGGGCATGTGCCCTGACCGGGAATCGAACCCCGATCGCCTGGATCCTAGGTCGATGCTCAACCGCTGAGCCACGCCCAGCCGGGCGGAAGGGATATTTTTTATCCAGGCCATGGATTGGTGCTATTTGAGTAAGTAGAGATAAGAGAAAGAGCTTTATAAATGGAGGGACCAGTGTGAGCTACTCAGACAAAAGTGGGAAATAGGGTTGGACTGTAAGAAGCATTGATAGTTCAATTTGCCTTGAGTACCTGAAAGCTGAATGACGGAGAGTAAGATTGGAAAGGAAACAGTAAACAGCAGCAAACAATATTTGTTGGGTGCTTTATGGTTTACGAAGTACTTATACAAGCTAGTACAGCAGTTTGGCTCAGCAAACATTTGTGGAGCACCCACTGTTAGCCAAGCACAGTCTATAGTTAAGAGCATGTGTATGGGTGCTCTCAAGATGAAGGTAGATGAAGCTGCCTTTGTGTACTTTGAGCTGGCAGCCCAGTGGGGGGCAGGCAGTCATGTGAATAGATGATTTGAGAATAGATAGTAAGTGCTCAGATAAAAGTGTCACCAGGGGATATGAGAGACTGTTTGGGGGAAATTGGGAAATGGGGGGTGGTGACATCTGCCATGGATATTGAAGGATCACCAGTTTGGATCTATTAAGTGAGTGGTATGTGTGTAGGAAGGAGATATGGAGAGTAGTGGCGCTAATGAAGACATGAATTTGTGAAACAGTATGGAGTAGGCAGCTAGGTCTCCTTAGGTGTGAAATGTGAGGCAGGTAGTAGGTAGTGCGATGGAGAGGTGGGCAGAGCCCCACATATTCTGTGAGTTAAGTTCACTTCACAGTTCTTGGATTAGTATGAAACACTGCTGTGTGTTACCTGGCTCCCTTGAAAATGTTGACTGTGCTCCATTTTTCCTCATTCTGTGAGCTCAGCCTCTATATTTGTGTTTTTGGTTGAAGATACAGCCAATTAATAGATACTATCATCTTTCCTTCCTTTTTTTTTTTTTTTTGTTAATCCTCATGCGAGGATATTTTTCCATTGACTTTTAGAGAGAGTGGAAGGGAGGGAAGGAGGAAGAGAGAGAGAAACATCGATGTGAGAGAGACACATCGATCAAATGCCTCCTGACAGGGGCTACAGATCAAACCTGCAACCCAGGTACATGCCCTTTACCAGGAATTGAACCCGAGACCCTTTGGTGCGTGGGCCGATGCTCTAACCATTGGGCTACACTGAGCAGGGAGTCTTCTATTCCTTTTTATCACCTTTTTGTATTTACCTGCGGTCAAGTGCACATGTGATTAATATAGACTCTTGAATCGAAAACTGTTTTTAACAAATGAGTTGATCTTTCTGACTTTAGAAGTCCTATGGCTCTTTTTTTAAAGCTTCCCTTGTATTTCTTTGACAGGCCTCTCTTAGGAGAGTTGGGACGTTTGTCTACTCATTAATCCACTCACATGCTGTTTATTGTTCGGCCCATACCCTAAACTATTTTATTACAGTTTCTTGGCCCTCGTCTTGCCCCACGTAGGAGGACCTGTTGTGCTTTTCCCGTTCTCATCCCCTGCGCTTTCCTCCAGGTACGCTCCGCTCCATTCACCCTGATCTTTAGACTGTTCCTGTAAAGACCCTGCTCTTTCATTCCTCTGTAACTCTACACGCTGTTCCTGGTGCTTGGAATGCCTTGTCCCACTATCTTGATGTCATTTTACTTGACCTTTAAGTCCCTATCTAAATGTCACCCCCTTTAAGAGGCCTCACTTTAACTCTCCACAAAATCAGCCATTACCACTTTCCTGAAGCTGACTTCTTGGTTTACCCTTTATTTTAAACCTATCATGATTTTCTGACATTTATGTTTCCTCAAATAGACTGTTCTCTTCCTTGTGGTCAGGATCATATCTTATTCCCACATATCTGGCATTTCGTTGATGCTTAATACATTTATAATGAATAAATATTTATTTACTGACTGCATAAAGGATCAAGGTACTTACAGAAGAGTCATGGAAATCTTGGTTGTTATAACTTGAAAGAAAAATTGCTTATAATTTTGGTTATAGAATTTACACAGATAATGTGAGGGAAATATTCTACAATTGTATTAGTTTTTGCTCCTGCCTATTAATTTTTGCTTTTGAAGCAACTCTTTACTGATAGTAAAGTAAAACAACAAAAACCTCTGATCAATATAACAACTCTCATTTCCAGGCGTTTTTAAGTGATTCCTCCTGGCCTGTGACATCATGAGACTCTAGCCAGAGCCTCCCCCCACAGATGAGAACAGTTGTCCTTTGCAGATGGGAAAGGAACAGGTTCCAGATATGAGGTCACTGTGTGAAATATACAACACTGTAAATAAGATTTTCATAGGCAAAGAAACAGAGTCCATCTGCTTTCTGATAAAAACTTTATGTGTGCAGCCCTTGATGGGCAAGGTAAAGAGCTAGACAATAAAAGATTTTTTAATGTTGTTGGAGAAAATTAAACTTATTAAATATACTTATATTTAACTTTTGTATGCAAACATAAGTATACTGTTATACCCTTTTTCTTTTTTCTTTTTAATATGTCTTTATTGATTTCAGAGAGAGGAAGGGAGAGGGAGAGAGAGAGAGGGAAACATCAATGATGAGAGAGTCATTGATTGGCTGCCTCCTGCACCCCCTGCTGGGGACCGAGCCCGAAACCCGGGCACGTGCCCTGACCGGAACTCGAACCCCGATCTCCTGGATCCTAGGCTGACGCTCAGCCACCAAGCCACGCCCGGCCAGGCTCTTGTATCCTTTTTCTTTTCCAGAGGAGCAGCTTTTAATGAGAGATACTGAGATATTTAAAAATAGGAGTAGAATAATATTTTTGTTTCCTTTCAGTACTTTGATGATTTGACATTTCATGAGTGTTTTTTCCAATGTGAGGAAGAGGAGTTCAAAGTGACCAAGAAATCTCTTTCCTGTTTGAACTGACCAGCAATAACCCATGATCATGTACATGTAGTTTTGAAAATTTTTTGTAAACAAGTCTCCACATCAAAGAACACATATCCTTTCTCTCTATATAGGTTCAGTGTTGGTAGGTTGTTATAGGAGATGTTGGGAGAAATTGAGAGTATGGGATAGGCAGTCCTGGAAGGGGCTCAGATTTGGGGTGATGACCAAAGTGACATGGATAGGAAGATGGTAGAATTGGTTGGTTTCAAAATCCCAGATGTTGCTTTGTCTCAAGGTGGTGCAGGCAGAGCCCCCAGAGCTGCCCAAGACATGATGTCAGAGTTCCCCCTAGAAGAGAATATTTGTGTAAAGCTGTTATGGGGCCTCAAAAGAAACCCTAGGTCAGGAAGACAGGACAGGATGGCCTAGCTTCTAGGATTTTCACCATTGTTAAGAGTGAAATCAGCTAGAGGACATTTGGGTGTGAATTAAAAAGAAGAATAGAGATGACCTTACAGTGTACTGCCCAGTGATTTAGAAGGAATAGATGACATTCATAACATTAATACTAGGGGCGATGGGAGAATTTCAACTCTGCAGACAATTAAGAGCTCAACAAATGTTTCTTGACTGCCTATTAAGTGCCAGGCATATAACAGAGAGGCAGTTCACTGGGGAGATAGGCAAAAACAACTAAAGAAATAAAGAGGAAATTACAGCCTGTGACAAGCGCTATAATTACCTCTGAGGAGGTGATCTCTGAGTTGAGATCTGAAGGGTGAGAATGAGCCAGCCATTTGAAGAATTAGGAAAAGAACATTATAGTCAGAGAGATCAGCTAGTAGAATAGCAGCAAGCAGAAAAAGGCTTGGTGTTTTTGAGGCCTAAGGAGGATGCCTACTGGACATGATGGGGAGTCACCTCATTCTAGGCAGGGGAAGGACATGACCTATTTTATGCCTGAAAAACATCTCTCTGGCAATTGTAAGACAAGTAGGCTAGAGTGGAAGCTGGGAGACCATATAGCAGGCCATCAAAGGATACCAGGCAAGAAAATACGGAGATATGAACGGGGAGGGGTGGTAGTGGAGATGGAGAAAAGTGGGTGGATGTGGAGCTGGAACTGGCATGACTTGCTGATGGATTAAATGTGGAAGGCGAAGCAAAGGGAGGAATAAAAGATGGCTCCTGAGCAGCTGGATGGATGATGTTGCCATTCACCAGGATCGGGAAGACAGGGTAATTTATAAATTAAGCTTCATCATAGGTATGTATGTATAGGAAAAGACAGTATATATTGGTATCAGTCCCATCTGTGGTTACAGCCAACCACTGGGGGTCTTGGAACGTATCCCCCGAGCATAAGGGCGGGGGGCACTGTATTCTTTTTTTGTGTGTGTGTGTGTGTTTATTTTTGTTTAAAATATTACAGATGTCCCTTTTTCTCTCTAATAACCCATTCCACCCCTTCCCACCCCCCTCCCCAGTCCCTCTCCACACCATTGTTCGTGTCCTTGGGTTGTGCATATACGCGTATAAATTCTTTAATCTCTCCCCCTCCACCCACCCACCCTCCTCTGTCCCTCTGAGCTTTGTCAGTCTGATCCATGCTTCCATGTCATTGAACATATGGGACTACATCAAACTAAAAAGCTTCTCACAGCAAAAGAAAACAGCTTCAAAATACAAAGGAACCCCACAATCTGGGAAAACATATTTGCCAAGGATGTATCTGATAAGGGGCTAATTTCCAAAGTGTACAAAGAACTCATACTACTCAGCAAGAGGACGACAAACAATCTAATTAAAAAATGGGCAAAGGACCTGAATAGACACTTCTCCAAAGAGGACATACAGATGGCCAAGAGACACATGAGAAAATGCTCAACATTGCTAATCAGAGAGATGGAAATTAAAACCACAATGAGGTATCACTTCACACCTGTAAGAATGGCTACCATCAACAAATGACATGTGCTGGTAAGGATGTGGGGAAAGGGGGAACCCTAGTGCACTGCTGGTGGGAATGCAGACTGGTGCAGGCACTATGGAAAGCAATATGGAGGTTCCTCGAAAAATGAAAAATGGAGCTGCCTTTTGACCCAGTGATCCCACTTCTAGGAATATACCCTAAGAATCCTAAAACACTAATCAGAAAGAATATATGCTCCCCTATGTGCATAGCAGCACAATTTACAATAGCTGAGAACTGGAAACAGCCCAAGTGCCCATCAGTAGATGAGTGGATAAAAAGCTGTGGGACCTTTACACCATGGAATACTACGCAGCTGTAAAGAAGAAGGATCTTGTACCCTTTTGGACAGTATGGATGGACTTGGAGAATATTATGCTAAGCGAAATAAGCCAGGCAGAGAAAGACAAACATCACATAATCTCGCTCATACATGGAATCTAAAGAACTTAATAAACTGATGAACAATATTTGTCCTTTTCAATAGAGCCTAGTTGCAGCCCTGAGCAACCTGTCTCTCCCCTGAGCCCAGCCTTGGCCTATTTGAGTGCTGTGTAAGTAAAGGCACTTTCAGGGCCGACAGCATTCTCGTCTCTACGTCATGTACTGATCGCCCACTGAGCTAGAAGGGAGGATAGAAGAAGAGCAATTGCGAAAAATAAAAACTTAGGTCAGAAAAAAATGCCTGGAATCAGGAAAGAAATGAACTTCAATGACTTGACTTTTGTTTATTTGGAGTGTCTTCTCATTAGACTGTAAGCTCTATGAGGGTAGAGACTTACTGCTGTCCACTGTGTCCTCATGACTAGCTTATCCTGGTCATGCTAGTCATCAGGAATATTTGTTGAGTGAGTGGATGAATATTTAGAGTAAGCTTTTTCCCTCTCTCTCCCCTAACAGGAAATAGCTGTCCTAGAAGGGAAATTGCCATGACGTTCATAAAAGAGGTCTGGCCTCAGCAAGCTTTGCCAGCCTTTTCTTCCAGCCCCTCTGTCTCTTACTCTAAGCAGAATTACAGTCTGAAGAGAAGGGCATTTGCCCTCTTTTAAAAAAATTAATCCTCATTCGAGGATGTGTTTTTATTTAATTTTATTGAGTTTTAGAAAGAGAAGAAGAGAGAGGGAGGAGTGAGAGAGAAAGAAGGGGGAGAGAGAAACTTTGATGTGAGAGAAACATTGATTGGTTGCCTCCTGTATGCACCCCAACTGGGGATCAAACCCTCAACTGAGGTATGTGCCCTGACTGGGAATTGAACCTGCAACCCTTTGATGTACAGGACAGTGTTTCAACTAACCGAGCCATCCAGCCAGGGCAGCATTTGCCCTCTTAATCACTCTTGCTTGCACAGTGTCCTCTGCCTGTATTCCTTTCTGATTTATCTGCAGTTTTCTCCTTCATCAAGTCAGACACTGTTTCTGGAGCTTTCCTAGTGTCTCCAGCTGAAAGTGAGCTGCACCCTCACAGCATCCATGCTTTACTCTAAAAAGGGCTGAACTTGGTCATCACTCTCCCACACTATCGACCTCCTTCTTGAACATGGTCAGAATTTGAGAAATAAGTATGAAGGACTGAGTGAGCATTTGTAGTAGTCTTATTGGGATGTTAATGGTAGTATAAACTGTTGCATGGAAATTTGTAATTTTTACATGGTGCACCAGTGAAAGAATTATTTTCTGCTTTATTTTATGCACTCACCTATTTTGTTAATTATGTATCTTTGAGTCTTTCAGCATTTTAGGGGGAAATGTTATTTAAAATGCTTTCTCAAGATACTCTTTGAGTCTGGCTCTTAGGAAAATAACAGCCTCCCTCCATGTGTTCCAGTGGCCTTCAGATGCAGCTGGGACGTGGGGCGGGTTACAGCTTCCTGCAAGAGCCTGAAATACTGAACTGTTAGTGAGGGTGGCCCCCACCTGCACCCTGTGCATAAATAGAAGCAGACCCAGATTTGGTGCTGGAATAACATGAAGTTGAAGGCAGACTGGGTGGCCTGGCTGTTGGATCCAGGATCCCCATTTACATTAAGAGCTGGTTCTGGACCACTTTGAATTATTGACTCCTTCAACTCTGCAGAGGAACCAGAGTAAAAAATACGCATCGAATCCCTTGAGGCTAAGTATCCTGGCTGGAAATCAACCTGTATCACTTTGAAAATTGTCACAGAAACAAGCAGTTGTGGAAAGGTTTTAGAGACTTAAAAAGGCCATTATGTAGTGAGGCGTAATTCCTGATTACCTTGTTCTTAAAGCAAAAGTTTAAATTTGAAGACTAGCATGTAGGGGCACATAAAATCCCAATAGCTGCCACTCTTCCACTCTGCTCCAGGCTTTGTTGCTCCTCACCGCTGCCTGTTTACCGCAAGGCACCAGTGTGAGCTTTCAGAGTTGATGGAACCCTGCGTTACAGACACCAGTACAAATCATTTTTCACGCATCTAATGAATAGTTCTCATAATCTAACTTGTTTTCTAAATCGAACTGTTTAATTTAAAAAACTTTTTATTGGAGAATAACATAAGTATGGAAAAATTATACATGTATAACTAGTTAAATTTTCATGGATTGTTTATTTTATTTTAAAGGGTGTATTGAGAATTAATCCAAAGAAGTTTCATGAAGCCTTCATTCCTTCCCTGGTAAGTTCAATAATTTTATAATAAACTTAATGTCACATTCAATTTTTTAGATGTGCTCTGAAATTGAAATAATATATTCTAACTAAACAGCAGAGTAGTAAAACAAAATTGAAGATGGGCAAGTTTGTTTCAAACTTGAAACAAAATTTGCCTTTGGTTAACAACCCTTTCTGCCAGTCTTAAAATCACACTTCAAATGAAAAGGGTGGCATTTGTTACTAGGCTGCAGAGCAGCTGAACCCACGCAGACACCCACTAGTTTGTGTAATTGGACACCCTTGGTTTATAGCTTAAAAGGATTTATGGGTTTTCCACTGATTTACGTTCATCTTTCCTAACCAAATATGCTATCTACTTTCGATCTACTGCATGAGCTAATCTGCAAAGTTGTCCAAAAATAATGTGTAATGCTTTTTTTTTGGTCAGGGTTTCTCACATCACTTTTATGCAGGTGATAGGACTTGGTACAAGACTCTTTACCATTGGGTCTTATGGTAATGACTCATTTTACCTTATGTTCATGACTCATTTTAATGGGCTCTCTCCCGTTAAGGGAAGTTCACTCTAACATACAGTTTACAGTAGGCGTCTGAATAAGGCGTGATTGTACAAGGCTGGTAGAGCAATGTTCTTAAATTCCTGACCTCACTTTTCTCGGACACTGTAAACAGGATAGCAGTAGAATTACAGATTTTTCAAGGTAGAAGAGACCATAGGAATGAACTTTTGCTTCTAGATGAGGGAATGGAATAAATATATTTCATTTAACATATTTCATTACGTTACATGACAGGTTTTGTGAGAATACAAGTTTAGTCATGTACTTCACAGGTATTGTTATTATAGTAACCTTAAGACCTATTTTCAAGCTCAGTTTAGTTCTTTCTTTTCCTTCTCCTCCAGAAGCCAAGGATTCACATTTGTATCTCAAGTCCAATGGGTCTTATCCATTGGATTAGATAAAAAGTGTTACTGACACAAACAACAAGTGTTGATAAGGATGTGGAGTAAAGGGAACCCTTGTGCACTATTGGTGGAGTAAAGGGCACCCTTGTGCACATTGTAAATTGGTGCAGCCACTATAGAAAACAGTGTGGACATTCCTCAAAAGATTAAAAATAGAACTACCGTATGACCCAGCAATTCCACTTCTGGGTACTTATCTGAAGCAATCTAAAACACTAATTCGAAAAGAATATATGTACCCCTATGTTCATTGCAGCATTATTTACAGTAGCCAAGGTATGGAAACAACCTAAGTGTTTATCAATAGCTGAATGGATAAAGAAGATGTGGTACATATGTACAATGGAATATTGCTCAGCCACAAAAAAGAATGAAATTTTGCTATTTGCGACAGCATAGATGGACCTGAAGGCTATTATGCTAAGTGAAATAAATCAGAGAAAGACAAATACCGTATGATTTCACTTATATGTGGAATCAAAAAAATGAAATAAATAAACAAAACAGAAACAAACTCTTAGATACAGAGAACAGATTGATAGTTGCCAGATAGGACGGGGTTGGGTGGCTGGGTGGAAAAGGTGAAGGGAATAAAAAGTACAGATTGGTAGTTACAGAACCATCACAGGGATGTAAAGCACAGCAAAGGGAATACAGTCAGTAATATTGTAATAGCTATGTCTGCTGTTAGATCGGTACTAGACTTATCAGGGTGATCACTTTGTAAGTTATGTAAATGTCTAATCACTATGTTGTACACCTGAAACTAATATAATATTGCATATAATTGAAAAAAAAAGCAATGTAAGAGGGAGATAGTAGAGGCAGTAAATTACATGTAGATAAATCCCACCACTGGTCTGGATTTCTGAGTATACACAGCTCATGCCCATGTCAGGTGTGAACTTGTATGAATTGGAAAAATGCTCACAGGTAGTCCAGAAGGTGGGATGTCAGAATCAGGGCTTGAATGTGCCTGTCCCTGCTTTAGCAAGGAGAGTAAAGACAGTGACTCATATTAAAGAAGGTGTAGCCTCAGCTCTGACAGTAAAAAGTAGAAGTTTTCTTATTTGTAAAATGAGGTGGATTAAATATTATCTAATGTTTGTCATAACCTTAAAATTCTAAGGTTTTTGGAAAGTCAAAAATAGACTAGATTTGATGAAATTATGTAGGTTCATTCTTACTGACTCTAAAAAATAATTGTGAACTTATGCAGTGTGATTTGCTGTGTTCAAATATCTACTTAAGTCAGTAGGCTAGGAAAAGTGAATTGATCATCAGGTATAGGAAAATACTTTGTTTTGGGGGAACTTGACTTAGATTCATTATACTTTCTACTGATAGAAAGTTGATTTTCATTTTCTTATGACAAACCCCAAATTCATGGGATAAGTCACTTATGTGTAACTGCCAGTCTCCTGGGGTTCTGAATAAAAGTAAGATACAGAGTTAGAATAAAGCCATGTGACTTTAAGCAAACCAAGATGATTTGTTATTATTAAGATGCCTTTTTATCCTATTTGGGCGTAAGATAAAAAGAAATGGACCCCATGTAAAAAATTGGCTTTTTATAAGAAGCACAGTTTCTATTATGAATTATGTTGATGCAAGAAGTTTTGAAACTTTTTGGTGCATCTTGTCATGGGAGGCGCTCTTTGTATATCTGTGGAACTTATTTGTAGTCCAAAAGGAGCTATTCCATTGATGGAGGATGCTCTGACCGTCTTGGCATCCTGAGCTGCCCTCCCCTGTAGCCTCCTGCATATTTAGTTAGATTACTCAGATCCCTGTTTATTTCCTCTGGGGTTGTTCATTATCCATCCCTCCCTCCCCCTTTTCTCTCTGATGGGTAAAGCAAGGTTTCTGGCATTCAAATAAAGGGCTGAGCCTTTTTTTCTTTTTTAAAGAAAGGCAGACTGCCACATGCAGTACCTCATTTGAATGTATCTATTGGAGCCTTGGAAGCTTGACTACCCTACGTTCTCCTACAAATGGACCTTGAGAGTTTGTTTGGAGGTTCTAGCAGGGGGTGCAGCTACTCGTTTACTTTGACTGAAGAACCGCCCTCTCCTTTAGGGGAAACCTGTCCTCTTGACCGAGCACAGCTCGGGAGGGACACTCATGGAGTAGTGAAGGAGGAAGAGGACATCCACCTAGCCAGCCAGATCAGCAGAATCAACCCTGGCATCAGTGGGGTGACAGATGTTGCAGCCAGATTGCCCTCACATCCAGGGCTGAACCTTTTGGCCTTAAAAAGTAGTTAAGAGGGATGACTCAAAGTTTTAACATTGAGGTGTTGCCATGTTTTGTATCTTTAAGAGATTCTGCACAGTAGATACAGGCTTCTGAATGAATGAAATAAGAGCTGAGTAGTGATGCAGTAGATTTATGTGTTGTCTGATGTTCAACTCAGCCCTACCTCTCTTGGTTTCCTGGGATAGAAACATGACAATACCAGTGTCTTATCATCTTAAATCTCTGAGCTGTCTAAGGGTGGTATAACTGCTTATGAAAGAGGCATCTCATTGCATATGTTTTGACACATGATAATGGGTAGGATGACCTACATTCAGATAGCTCCTTTTTCATTCTTAGGAAGCCGGAGACATCCTGTTGCTTTATAAATTGCAGAAGGCAGTGATTGATGGTGTTGTGCTACACTTTAGTTGTTCACTCTCTGTGTACTGCTTGCCTCTTTCTTATTTCTCTGAGAAGCTTGTCTTGAGGTCAACTGCGGTAATTCTGTCTTTGCAGCTAACATGGTAGCTGGCCCTCAGGGACTAGGGTGGGTCAGGCTTGGCAAAGTATGGAGGCCACAGCTGCCAGCCCATGGCTAGATTGGAAATTGAACAGAAAGACTGTTCTAAAAGATCTCTAATGATTTGTAACGGGAAACCATAAAAATTGCTGAGTTCTGAAATCCCATGGGGTGGTGAATTTGGAATACTAATTTTAACTTTGACTATAATGTCATAGTAATCACCTGTAGTCATTTGTTGAGTGTTAAATCCATTCTATATCAAGTGTCTATTAGAAAATTTTGAGTTTCCCAAGTCTGTTTGCTATTTAAGAAAAATTAACTTCCCTCTTACCCTCTGAAAAGAAGCACATAGATAAACTTTTGGAAGGATACAGGGATAAGAGTACATGTTTGCGTGTTTGTTGATGAAATGTTTTGAAAATACTTAATTTTTTACTTGCTGTTGAAGGTATGCTTTTCCTTAGCTGTGTTTTCCATTTAAGTGTTTTTGTAAAATTTGGCTTATTTTTGTAAAGTAGCCTGGCACTAATTTAAGTTTAGCCATTGATACCTGGGGAGTTCAGTGGGGCTACATTGCTTAAAGGGGTTGTTTATAAGCACATGATTGAGGTGAATGTGTCCAAGCTTTGTTGCATCCACGGTTTTGAGTTCACCCAGCTCCTAAGTTGGTGGGAGAAGTGGAGCGTGAGAATGCTTTATGAATCTCATTTTATGTCCCTTTTCTTTTCTTCTTTGCCATCTACTTAGGGCTCCATAAAAACAGCCTCAGTATTCCCTCTGCCACTTTCTTGTGTGTGTCGGGGGATGTTGGGGGAGTATGATTTTGCTGGTTTCCTCTTAGAGAACCCGCATTCTAGAGCTCTTGCAGCATCTGCTCTCCATGTTCTTGAGGGATTATACGTTGTTGTTCTGTTTTCTTGCAAACCTTCTTTTTTTTACTCTTAGCCTTATTTTAAAAAAATTCAGCTAGTGTAGAAAAGATATCAGCATGCTTTATTTTATTTAAAACAGAAAAAGGACAACTCAAGGATAATCTACTCCTTGTTTGAGTTAGGAAAGCATGCAATCCCAGTTTTTTGCTTCATGTGTTTTTGCTTGTTTGATTTTGTCCTGCCTGCAGTAGATCTCCTCTTACTTGGTCATTTGTTAGTATTTTGTTAATCTGCTCTTATGTGTTCATCACCACTTCTATTAGTTCCAGAGGGAGTGAGCTCTCTCTAGGTCTGCCTGTGGCTATGTACAGTGTTCCTATTAAATCAGTGGACAGACTGGGGAGTCTACAGTTTTTAAACCAAGGAAGTAATTTTTGGTTATAAGCTTTGGTAAGCTGATTATTTCTTTCTCCAACCTAGGATGGTGATCGAGACATTTTTATTGATGGGATTGTCGCTCGTAATAGAGCCTTGAATGGGGACGTGGTGGTCGTGAAGCTGCTTCCGGAGGAGCAGTGGAAGGTGAGTTAAATTTTCATTTTCTAATTATAGACTTCTCAGGGCCTTTTGTATTCATGGTCCATCAATGAGGCATCATAAACTGAAGCAGTTATGGGCCCCTAAAGCCCTGTGGTTGCCTCAGAAACAGGCCCCATGATGCTCAGGACATAGAAGTGTCTGGCGAGCAGACGTCGAATGATCTGAGTTGTCCTGCTTGTACTCTCCTCATCATGTACTTTGCAGATGATATAACCTCTCTGTGCCTCAAATGCCTCGTGAAAATGGGAATGAGCACAGTACCTGCTTTATAGGTTTGTCAAGAGGATTAAATAAGAATACTAGTAAGAATCTTAGAATGATGCCAGATCAATGGTAGCAGTTCAAGAAACGTTAGTTATTATTAACTTGTCCAGAAATGTGGGAACTATTACCTTATACCAGAGCTTTGTTGAGGCATAAGTTTAATTCTTTTTTATCTGATAGGGCTACAGTAATTGAGTTAGACCTGTGTGCCAAGCGTCTGTAGGGCGCAGGGAATTAGTCATGATCAAGATGATATAGTTCTTGCCCTCACAGAGCTTTTAGTCTGGTGGGGAGTGCAGGCAGGAGGAGACACATACTAATTGCACTTATACAAATTTAAGGATAATTTTTTTTTTTTTTTTAATTCTCACCTGAGGATATGTTTTTTTAATTGATTTACGACAGAGAGGAAAGGGGAGAGAGAGAAAAAAAAACCATGGATGTGAGAGAGAAACATCAATCGGTTGCCTCCCGTATGTGCCCCACCACACCCGACTGGGGATCCGACCTGCAACCTAGGTATATGCCCTGACCAGGAATTGAACCCTCACCCTTTTGGTGTATGGGATGACACTCCAACCAACTGAGCCACCTGGCCAGGACTAAGGATAATTTTGATTAATGCTGTGAAGTTAAGTGCAGAGTGTTTTATGAAAGTGAATTATCCTAATCCAGAACCCTGCCCACTGCCTATTGTCAATATAGTCTTCCCTTGATTCCTTGAAAGCACAGCTAAGGGTTGGTTCCGGGCCCTAGGAAGATAGGTTGACTCAGTTCACTTCCCCTTTTCTTTAAAGCATCCTCTAGCACAGTGTTACCAGGCCCGAGAAGATAAGAGGAGTGCATTAAGGCCTGGCCAAGAGAAGGGAAGTATTCTTAGAGGTCATTTGACAAAGTAAAAAGGCAGCGTTATAGTTTAGATGAGCCAAAGAAGGACAAAAAAGACGGCTTCTTTTGACTTAAGGGGTGGTAGTGGGTAGAACTGAAAGAAATAGAAGAGTGGCTAGCAAGTTGGGTGGGTCTAGAGCTGACTAGGTGTTGACTGGTGGAGGGAGTAGGAATGGCGCGCCTAACAGTAGAGCACCCGCTGAGCTCTGCAGAGGTTGCTTAGAAGAACAAGGCCAATTGCCTGGCATCTGTACTGTCCCAGGCTGACTAGGGGATGGCTAAAATAAACAAGCATATAGATAAACCAATCAGTTGAGTCATTTCTCTTGTTCTTCCCCCATTTGTATTTAAGACCAGCAAGCACATCCTTTCCTGGTATTAGAAGCACTCTTGCTTTGGGCAGGAAGCCTAAGAAGATTGGGATTGGCTGGCTGGAGGTGAAGGTGTTTGTTGTTGTTGAGTTTTGGAAGGACAGACTTAGGACTTGGGCATTCTTACATCTGCCTTGGTGCCTTTACTTCTAGACAAAAACCTGTACCTGCTTTAAGACTCAACAAAGCAAATTTGTGGTTTTCCCCAAAAGGTTTATTTTTGTGGATTCCTGGTTCACTGGAGTTAGTTAAGCAGATAAGAATTTGTAGATATTCTTATAGCATTCCCACATTCAGGCTGTCAAAACATTCAGGCTATATAGACACAGCTTGTTGCTTTTCTATTTTACGTTAATATCTGTAAAATATTGGCATGGGTACAGAGAAAGGCCTAGACTGGCAAGGAGGACCCTACCTTTTGAGTTGCTGGTAGGTGTAGAGTAGGGCCACCGACAGAGGGCTGGCCTTGGTGTGCGCATGGCCTTCTCCAGCTTTCGGAAGATTTGAAATGTAGAGGATGGCCCAGGGTTCCTAACTTGGGCTGTTTCTGTGGAGCCAGTAAGGATCTTCACAGTGGCTGTCTGACAATTTGCTTTTTTTTTAATCCTCACCCAAGGATATGTTTTTATTGATTTTTAGAGAGAGGAAGGGAGAGAGAGAAATATTGATAGGTTGCCTCCTGTACCTGCCCTGACCGGGGATAGAACCCGAAACCTGGGTATGTGCCCTGATGGGTAATCAAACCCACCATCTGTCAGTGTTGGGTACAGTATTCCAACCAACTGAGCCACACTGGCCAGGGTGACTTTTTATATTAAAGTCAGCCCCCATTAGTTAATTTCATAGCTTCCCATTTTGAAGGGGGGAGCTCTGTTGACTCTAGCCCACTTATGACAGTTGGTGATAGGGTCAAACAAGAGAGAAGAGAATATTCAGACTGTTATCAAGAATCCCTGACTTGTAGAATCTAAACATCTCAAAGGATACTGGTCAATTGTATTACAGGTTTGTTAGTACAAAAGCATATTGTTATCAAAGTTCTCTGTAGTCAGTGGTGTGAACAAATGTGAATTAATTGGATTATTCATCTTTGCTTCTTTATACTTGTTGTGCTCACCCCTCTTGGGTATGTAAACTACAGGGCCTTTGGGGTTTTGGAAAAAAACAACTGTTCTTTTAGCTGTTGTAGTAAACAGTCAATTTATTTCACAGCATGTTTTTTTGGGCATAATAGAGAGCTATAAAAGTATCAAGCTGTGAGGCAATCTAAAAAATAATTTGCTTGTATATAACAATTTTAACTTCAGAATTATTCCACATTTTTAGTATTTATGTATTTTTTTATTACAGACATCTAATGAAGGATGGTTGAAGGGCAAATGAGCATTTATTTTCACTTTATTAGTTGAGAAATTAAGTGACTTCTTTGAGAACTTGGAGTTTTTGACAGAACCAAGGAGTAGAATCAAGAATCCAGATCTTTTGACTTTTAGCTTAATGTTCTTTTCTTATGTAGGTTTTTTTTTTTGAGTGAGTGCGTGTGTATGTATTTTTCCAGGATGAGCATCTGTGGCTTTCCTCAGGTTTTTTAAACTGGGCGGCATGTTGCCCCAGTAGTTAGGAGCCATGATCCTGATGTTCTGCCTGCAGCAGGGCAGGGTACCAGGAACTTCTCATCTGCCACCCATCTTGCTTTTGTGCTAGATGTTGGAAGTAGACTCAAGTAGGTTACAGGCTTGCTCTTAAGGAGCACGCGTAGGCTGCGTGGGGAGGGGATGGGAACAAATACGGTTTGCAGCGCAGAAAGAGAAGTCCATGTTAGGGAAGCATGAAACTCTAGCTGAGTGAATTGGGGAAGGTTTCATGGAGGAGATTACATTTGAACTAAGGTTTGAAGGATGGGAATGAAGGAGAGAGGATTTGTTTTGTTTTAGGAGGAGAGTGATTTGCGCTGAGAAGGATTTGACAAGAGAGTATTATGAAAGTTTCCCCTTTGAAGAACATAAGGAATAAAGCTCCCTATTCCTGCCATGCTTAGAGGAAGGGAGGGAGGGAGAGAGAGACAGAGAGAGAGACATCGATGTGAGAGAAAAACAATGGTCAGTTGCCTTCTGTACGCTCCCCGACTGGGAATCAAACCACAACCCAGGTATGTGCCCTGACCGGGAATTGAACCAGCAGCCGTCAGTGCATGGGATGTCACTCATCCAGCTGAGCCACTTCAGCTGGGCTCCTCTCTTAATACTTTAATACTTTACATTACAAATAAGCAATGTAAACCTGTGGATGTTGCTGCTGATTGCTAACCTTTTAGTGCTTACTATGTACCAGGAACTGTATTTAGTGTCTCACACCATTCTTTAGTTTGCTGTTATCTCTATCTCAGTTTTGTGAATGAGAAACCTGAGGCTTAGCTTAAACATCTTACTTATTTAGGGAACTAGCGAGTGCTAGAGTTGGGATTCAGATTCACATTTTATTTCATGGTCTCGCTGCTTATTAGTCCAGCGATATAAAGAAGAAAAGTTGTTTGAGCTGTAGATAGATATTGTCAGGTATCATAAAAATCAGCATAAGTCCAAAAAATAGTAATAAATACTTTAGCATTAGCTAATATTTTAAGATACCATCATAGGTAAAGATGACACTATTAATTCAAATGACCAAAGGCCTAGTATTATTTTTAGGAAATAAACAGTCTAGGAAAAAATAATTAGAATTCTAGTAGTTGTATCTTAAGCCTAGAGAGGTATGATGGCTTTTCAGGGTGTATGGAGGCAGATGTGGGACTGAGTCACAACCTTACCTGACATCTGTAGAGAGTGGGTCAGATACGGAGAGAGCTGACCCAATTTGAAAGTCAGATCAAGAGCTGGACAAAGCAGAGTCAAAGGGGTTACAGACCCAGATGCCATCCTGATGTGTTGGCAGCAGATCCCCCATTCATGGGGCATGTGACACAGGTATTCAGAAAGCAGGTAGGCGGTTGCCATGTAGGAGGTGGGTCCTTCTGGGGCTTTGGGATAGGGTTCTAATTTCAGAAATATGAGCTGTCTTATTACAAGCAGCCACTGGGCTGGGAGTCAAGGATAGGACTTGATCCCCAAGCCAGAATTGGCTAGAGCAGTACTAGGAACAAGAACCAAAGCAGAAGACCAACCCTGAGATCTAGAATTCTGGGCCTTTTCTAGTTGTATAAAGGAAATTTGGGAGTCTAGAATTCAGCTCTGGTATCTTGGATCTGGGAGGTGGGTTAAAAGCTAAGGCCTCCCATAGGAGGAGCCAGAGCTGTTTAAATATTGCCTACCTTGCTTGATTGGGAGCTAGGGTGAGCAGCTTAGTTGATGCAACCGTAGTGAGTGACCCTGAGAAAATCAGAGTGAGGGAGGCTGACAGGAGCATATTAACAGTACACTCAGTCAGATAAAACTGTGTGAAAGAGAAGCTGACTAGCTGAAG